ACTCTGTCTCTGGTGAAGCCTCTCGCTGCCCCTGAGCCTCTGGCCTGTACCCCAGTTCTGTATGCACAAATAAATAAATCTTTAAAAAAAAAGTTTCGTTCTTTAAAAAAAAATTATGAAACATCACTGATTTATATTGTATCCTAGAAGCTTCTTGCAAAAATTCTCCCCAAAATGTACATCTCATGTCTTCCCATTAACTCTACCAATACATTCTCAGGGGGAAACCTGGGGACCTGTGTACAGGTTTACTTATGTAAGGGCTATGGAATCACATATATTATGCTTCCTTGGTCCTTCCCATGCTAAGCACCTTCTGACAATGAGCTAACATGCTCTAAGCTGAAACAAAATACTGAGCAGGGTCTTCACACACATAACTACCAAAGGCAGGCCACCCTCTGCTCCTCTGTCCAAGCAGTCAAACCCTGTTCATATCACACCACCCTAACTCATTCACTCTAGTCCATTACTTTCCACCATGGCTCACAACACTCCCTGCGCCCTGCCCAGGGAACCCTTGAATGGCTTTCTACCCAGGATTCCCACAAACATAAGCTTTAACTGGTCTTGGGTGTACACAAACATGTTTTGTTTCCTAATCCCTCCAGATAGTTCTAACCTGCAGGGTTCCAATCAACCAGACTGAAAAACACTGTTCCTTACCATTCCTATCAATCTTCTTGGCCACACCAATGTCTTCCTAAAGTGTCTCCTACAGCAGGTACCATGAATTGTGTCCAACATCAATCTACTCACTCTGGCATAGAGAGACTAGAAAGCTAGAAATTACACAGCTCATGCTCCCCTCTTGCAAAAGATTGGCAGTGTTCTCAAATCCTTTTATGAGGCTGATACATAATTAAGTGCCAATATACTTAATATACAACTTTTAAAGTTTTTTTTTTTTTTTTAAAGGCAAAAATCAGTGAGACAGAATTGCTAATTACAGCTACATTTCTAACACTGGACAGGTAAAAGTCCAAATGCTGACAACACACTTTGCTGGCAAGGCTGTGTGGAAACAAAACTCTCACATAAGCTCCTGGTACAAGATAGTAAAAATCCAATGGAAGGAATGTGGCATTGTCATAAAAATTACATGCCCATTTACTCTTACCCAGAACCTCTAGGAATCCACCTAGATGGTAGCTACCACAAACACAAGCAATATAAGCTGGGATACAAAAATATCCACCCAAAGACAGGGTGAAAAAAACCTATGGAAACCCTGTAAGATAGAGGACTGTGCAGCAGTAATATTAAAAAAAAATTAGCAAGGGAAACCTCTGTGAATTGATACAAAATAACTACTAAAATACACTTAACAAAGCAGAGTGAAATCTACCACTTGCATCTCCAATCCAGAAAGTACCTGCTGTTCTACCATGACATGTATGCAGGCTGAAGGCGCATAGCAACAGCAACTTCCAGAGTCATCTCTGCCTCATGAGGGCCACCTCTTCACTGCCAGCCCTTGACACAGGGCTCCCCTGCACTAGACTGGCACCCAGTTCTGAGGTTTTTCTGCCCAATCTACTTCCTCTCCACTAGAATGCTCACAAGTGTTATCTTTCCCAATAATGTCTGCATTCTTAATTCCACCTCAGGGCCATGACCTTCTGTATAACAAAGGAAAAATTAGTATGTAGTTGGCTTGCAGGTATGAGAGGAACTTGCTATCTGCCTTCTCCTCCAAAACTTATATAGAAATTCTAATATGATGATATTTGGAGATACTCTATCAGGGCAATCATTTCACATCATGGCAATCATTTCACATCGCATACACATTAACTCATGCTGTATAACCTTAAAATAAAAAAAAGTTGCACAACCCTTATTGATAGTATTAGGAAAGTCAGGAAGACTAAAAATACCAAAAGTATGAAGGTATGCAAGGCAGGTTTAAAGAAATAGATGAAATAATTAGCAACTATACAAAATTACACTGAAGTTACAGAAAATTTCCTTTAAATGAATGTTAAGACTGAATAAAACTTAAGAGGCATTCCAGTTTTCTTGACTGGAGATCAATAAACTATAGCCCACAGGACAAATTTAGCCTATTTGTCTTCGGTTATTATTGGAACACACTCTCACTTGGTAGTTCAATGGCTGCTTTTTAGAAAGATAGTTCCAACAGAGAGAGTAACCCTAAATGCACATAACCCAGACCTTACATTAAGTGTGCCAATTCCTGCTTAACAAAATTTATGTACCTTAGTATATTCACAGCCTGTGGACTATCAGAAGTAATGCTAATACTACAGGTTTCTGCCTATTTCCCTGGTTTTCCATATCGACTCAGTATCCTCTTCTATTAGCATTCTTCAACTATTTAGTTAATGCTTAACACTTTAAAGACAGACCTTACCACCAAGTTATCTTTCATCAATTCTGGTAAATCTTCACTCATTTTCTTCTAGTCTTTCTACTCATTCCCTCTGGAGCTCTTCACTCTCCTCAAACCCTCAGTCTAACAGCTATACTTCTTAACCAGTCTGTTTTTCCCCTCTTTAGCTTTATTCTAGTTCTCTTCTGTAACAATGTTTTATCTGCAACTTAACCTCATTTCTATTCAAATGTTGCTTTTTCCTATTTTTCATTTCCAGGTTCCAGTCGATTTCTGCCCTCCCCCCACCCACCTGTATACTATTTCCCTCTTATGTTTTTGAATCTTTTGCATCTTCAATTACCCTAAAACTGTGTGATGTGATTTCTACCTGATATTCCATTTCTGCAGTCTGTCATGACTGGTTAACTCTTCTTGATGAATAACATCACATTTTATAATTCCCCATTGTTAACTGGCAGAGCTTTGTGGGAAGCCCACACACCCCAGATTGAGAACATATGCCTCCACAGCAGTTCCATTTGCTGCTGTCAGGTGTTCCAAGGTAATGTAGACTGGAAACTATTTTTTATGTTAGCTTCTCAGTTTATGCACTCCTTAAGACATATAGCAATGTAAAGCCTCAAACACTGCTAACTGGTGACAAATTCCTGGGGAAGATTTTACCATCCCAGACCTCAAGCAGCAACAAACTACTTACTGGGGACAGTGTATGGGTTGTTTAAAAGTATCAGATTGGGGCCCTCCCTGGTGGCACAGAAGGTGACACAGCACTGCAAGTGAGCAACAGCCGCTTCAGGCTTCAGTGAGAGTTGGATCCCTGACCCTGGAAGTGACTACATGGCGTAGCAGACCTCTCCTGACCCGCCCACTGCTCCCCTCAGCAGTGTACTTCGTAGATCTGCCTATTCTGCTCCCACTCTGTCTCTAGTGAAACCTCTCACTGCCCCTGCACCTCTGGCTTGTACCCCAGTTCTGTATAGAAAAAAAAAAAAAAAAAGAACTGTCATTAAAAAAAGTATCAGATTGACAAGCAGATCCCATGCTAGCTCCCAGAAACAAGGGAACAAGGGCCTATAATCTCATTTTCTATTCCCATACAGGTTGCTAACATAGAAATAATAAATGTCCACTGAACATCAGCTTAATGACCAAATGTAATGGATTTTACACTACTTGATATTCAGCTGCAGGTATTTCTATTACCTTCTTGTAAGTCACTTATCCATTTGTAAAATGTTTCATTCAGTTTTCTTTTTAGTAGCAGGTTTGTATGGTTACTGTCCCACTGTATCATCAAAACCTGAGATGAAATGGTAACATTACTGGTAAATTCCTTTCCATTCCCTTTCCTCAGAGGGATGCATTTTCTTGGGCAGAAACAGACAGGGCTCTCTCTCCTTTCCTAAAGAATGAAGGTAATTAACAACCATCTTTTTTCTTATCCTCCTACCCTCCCTGATAAGGCCAAGGAGCTATTCCTGATTGGGCCAAGGGCTGCTAAGCACCTCACTCCTACAAAGCCCTCTAACACCTTTCCAGCCTATTTATCAAGGAATACCCTTGGCAAGAGTAGAGAGAGGAGCAGTTAGCTAACTGGAACCACATCTGTGTCTCCCAAGCCCTCCAAAGTATAAGGTTCACCTTGCCCTTGGCTATCCCACTAGGACAACTGGAAACTTCTCACACTGCAGAATGTTTAGATTCTCTTAGCAATAACTTGCTTTAAAGTTCAGCCCCAGGAATTAAGTCCTGCTTCCCTCTATCCCTCTGTCTAGCATGGGAGGGCCCCTTCACTCTCCCTACACAGCTCTCCCATTTGGGGGAGAGCTGTACAGAAAACTGCTCTATGTATAATTTTTACAGAAGACAATGCAAAGCCTGCACCCCAGACACAAAATTTGAAGAGGCAATCAAAAACTTATAATATTTAAATAAAAACACAATACACAAGTCATCAAAATTTAAAAGGATAGAATCAATATCAATGATTCTTATTTTTGCCTTGAATTCCAATACGGCTAGGCTGAAAGCTATCACACTGACCTTTCCTTTTATCACCATTACTGAGAATTTAGTTTAATAACCCCTTAAACAGGTTCCAGATCCTAAGAGATGCTAGAGGGCCGAACAACATGGCAGCTAGCAGCAACAAATTTAACTTCATGAATCAGTAATATCTTCGGATCCCTCTTCTATACCAAGTCAAATTTCTCTTTGTTGACTTCCTCCTGTATAACCTGCTATGTCTCCTTTTTGTTTTGACCTGTTCTTCAACACTCTGGTCAGTTTCTCCAGGAAGTTAGTAGGGGATCTTTAAATTCCCAATACTCCATTCCCTTTCATTTGCCTTTTCTCCTTTGCCCTTATATTCTGACTGTGTATATTTATTTCTGTGTTTACTATCAATTGTCTACCCATTGCTATCTTTTAACTAGAAGGTTAAAAAAAAAAGCTCCCTTGACAAGCTCAGATTTTTATCTTTTTTGTTAACAACTGTTAACAGTCCCTGGCACACAGCAGGCACTCAAACATTTGCTGAAAATGGGGGAAAAACACCCAAGTAATTTACTCCTGGTTTGAAGTCACCAATTAGGACAATCACTTGGCTCCACCCCCTCCCACACAACCTATGTTTGATTAGCTGACTCCAGTTAAGAGTGGGGACTAAATTAATCAGTAGAATCTCCTCCCTCACTCAAGAGACTAAAGCTGAATTCAAGCAGAACAAAACCCCAGGACTGGTTTGAAGAGAGAATGGGGCTTTCCTGCAGGGTAGATCTGAGCATAAAGCCAGGAACTGTTGGGAGGGCTAACCACCACAGATGGACCACAGAATGGGGAAGATGAAGATCAAAAACTGAGTTAATGAAGGCTTGGGCCAGGGTGGAGAGAAATACAGATCCTAGTCCCAATTGTTAAAGCCACCAGATCAAGTTTTGACCAAAGTTCCATAAGCCAATACATTTGTCTAAGCCATTTGAGCTGGTGTTGTCAACTGAAATCATTCATTGTGACATGAGAATTCACCAAGTGTTCAAAAGTTCCAATGATGATTTAAAAAAAAAAAAAAAACTGCTTACCTGGATAACCAATTCCTTTGGCATTTGCATAGGGAACCCCAGAAGAACCAGGGCTATAGACAGGATTCATGATTTCACGAACTAAAAAGGGAGAAAAAGTGATTTAGTCAAGTCCTTTCCTTTCAGCATTAATCTCAAAAACGCATACATTAAGTTTACTATAAAACAAGATGTTTCATGCTGCCACCAAGAGAGGACAGATAAGGAATGCCAAAAGTCACAATGGGGCTCTAAACTTTTTGATTCTCTTCAGTCCATCAAAAGCTCTCTATGTCCTTGCTTTTTCAAAACAAAAAAGTGGTTTTTAAACAGTCTAAATAGTCTTATAACAGAGAATAGTTAAGTAAATCTGATCTATGCATAGCAGAAATATCCAGCAGTCGTTTTATAAAGTGCTTAAAAACACAACTGACATTACATTTTTTTAAAGTATATTACTATACTATATAGTGCAAACCCAAATTTTCATCCACATATAGGAATGTGCCACTCAACAATAAGATCTGGTTGAAATTAAAAATATGAACAATGTTTATCATTAGATGTGGTGCATTTAGTGTGTTTTTACATTTTTCTCTATTTCTTATATACATATATATTCTTAAAAAGGCAAATTAGCTACCATCCAGCAACTCCATTAACACCATCAGAACGCTATCATTCATAATTCTTTTCTTCCTGCAATGTTCAAGAACTTGCACACCTATGATTCTGCCCCTCCCCCAATAGCAATGAGATTCCTGGTATCTCCAACAAGCTTCTATGAATTTTATCACCCAATGTATGAGTCTAATTAAAGCTATTCATTACTCACTGAAGAACTCTGCGTTTTCCCCACTGTGCTCTAAAGCTGTTCTAAAGAATGAAATCTATTTTTACAATAAAAATAAACAAGATGTACATTTACTTAGTGTCTGGATTCTCCATCACTGCCCCAATTAGAATATCGCCCAGGAAGGTAGGACCAGGAAATGTGGCCCTATTTACTACCTCCAGCACAGATGACTGCACAAAATAGGTGTGACTATTTGCTGACTTGATAAAACATACAAAAAAGAACCACTTCATAAACATACTCAATCACATCCATTGCCTTTGTAACACATTCTAGTCTTAATTAGAAATAAACTGGGGAAAACAAGGCCCGGGGAAATAAAGTAAGAATTTTTTTAACTTCTAAACCAAAAGGCAAATACCGAATTTGCCACATTCACAACTACAACTAAGATAGATGTGTCTATTGGTCCTGACAGACTTTCCACAATAAAGATATTCTTTTTCCATGTCATCCAATATACTCAGTCATGAACTAAACGTAACCACTAAGCACCTGAAAAACGCTGGTATGTAGTACCTGATATTTTAGTTTTAGTTAACTCCTATTTAAACAGTCATCTGTAGCTAGGAATTACCACATTGGATATCTCAGTTCAGGTCTACAGAAGAAGCCAGAGAGAAAAGTAGGAAGCAAATAGGATAACCAACTATGTGTCTTATCCCGCATTTAAGTATAAACAAATTGGCACTACCCAGTCCTATTCTCCCACATTCTGAACCCACTCTTGGCAGATCTACAACGTAGGAATTGTGTACACACACAATTGTGTGGACACATCTCACTGCTTCTCAGGTTCAACAACCATCTCTGGAGAAGGTAACACATCCCAAACCTCTACTTCTCTATTCTCCATCAAGATCTAATTTTACTTTCTCTCTATTTTTTAAGGTTTATTTATTTACGCATATAAGAACTGGGGTACAGGCCAGAGGTGCAGGAGCAGTGAAACGATTCACCTGAAGCAGAGGGGGTGGGGGGGGGTAGAACAGGCAGATCAACAAAGTATACTGCTGAGGGGAGCAGCAAGCAAGTCAGGAGAGGTCTGCTGTGCCATGTGGGTCACCTCCTTGGTGGTTGGGGATCCAACTGGAGCAGAAGCAGCTGAGGCAAGCTTCACAGTATTGCGCTTTAACCCTCTGCGGGAAGGGCCCAAATTTTACATTCTTAATTGACATAAGATAAGTAAAACACTATAGAAAGGCCACAGAGAAAATAAAGCACAGTCCATGCTCTCAGTTTTCAATCTAGAAAAGTGCTGCCCACTAAAACTTCCTGTGAAAATGGAAATGTACGTCTACTCCGTCTGCATACAGTAACCAACTAATGGTTACTGAACATTTGAAATGTGGAGAGCAGAGGAGCCTCCTTGGTGGCCTACAGGTTAAGTCTCAGTACTACCACCAGAAGGCCCACCTGTTAGCCTGCCTGCCTTGGATCCCTAGCCACGGGAGCATCCTTATAACCCACTAACGTGCTGCAGACCTCTCCTGTCTTGCCCACTGCTCCCCTCAGCAGTATATTTCAGTAGACCTGCCTGTTCTGCTCCTCACTCTGTCTCTGGCGAATCCTTTCACTGCCCAGACCCCCACACTTCTGGCTTGCACCCCAGTTATTCTATACAAAAATAAAATTAAAAAAAAAAAAAGAAATCTGGGGAGCACAACTAAGGAACTGAATTTTAGTTTAACTTTAATGTTAATGAAATTGTCACAGATAGGTGATGACTATGAGACAAAAGACATGAATAATGGTGACAACGTGTTAACAGCCAGAAAGTGGAAAAAATGGTTCTGAGGCTGAGCAAGGAGAGCAAAGATTCAATCGGACAGGAGGCAGGATCAGGAAAAACTTCAGTACATAAGTGGTTATTTCCTTAAAACCTTGAATTTAACAGGCAGGATCCCAAAAGCCACAGAAATTAAAACAATGTAAGATTTATTTTAGGAATATTGAAAAATTGGCACTTAGACTACATGTAGGTTAGACTCATGTGGAAAACCCTTAAATTTAAATGTTTGGTCTGAGCATAGCAGTTAGACAAAAGATACCATATGACCCAGTAATTTTCACCCAAAAGAACAACATACATTCAAACAAAAACTTGTACACACATTTCTGACAGCAATCTGCATAAATAAAAAATATGAGTAATTCAAATGAAGCACTAACACAAGATTCCCATTCTATAATGATCTTATTATAGTCTAAACCAGTAATACCATTCTGTTTACATTTGCCACTAAAATGTATAAAATTGTACTAGATTCTAAATTCCATAAGTGGCCTCCCTGGGTGTTAACGCTATCACTCTATGGCCTGAGTTCCATCCCCCTATCAAGCAGCTAATCCACAAGGCACAGAAAAACTCTCCAGTCTTGTCAGCTGCTCCCCTTAGCAGTGCACTTCAGTAAATTTGCCTGTTGTGCACCCACTGTCTCTGGTTAATCCTCTCAACCCCTGCAGCTCTGGCCTACACCCCAGTTCTATGTAAAAAATAAACAGCAAAGTTCCAAAATTCTCAGAAGCTACATTTCCTGAAAACACTTTTATTTCCCCTAAGGCTAATAATATCTCCTACAGTGACTAAGTTTCAATGAATTTTAAATTATAGGTAAGAAATTATGCTGACTAAACAGAAGAAAACGCTGTAGCCCCTCTCCAGGTAGACAAAAGGACTTACATTGGTAGTACAAATGACAAAGTCAAAGGACTCTTAAGCTATTTGTTCAAGTGATGAACAATTCCCAAGCCTCAAGAGCAGGGAAAATACTTTATTCAATCCTGGCCCCCGCATCACTAGGGGCTTGGCACCAAGAGAACATAAATAGCTTCTGAATGTTCTTCAAGGAAAGAACTATCCAACATTATTTGCAATTTGAAAATCTAATTCAGAACTGCTGAAACATAGATCAATGACACTAACTGTCAAACTACTTAACATTATGTGCATACTCATGTGATAGAAATAGAATTTCTCTGCATCCCTTAAGGTACAGTGCTAAAATATTAACATTTAAACTTTGTTTACAGCAATAAAAAAAAGAGAGAGAAGAGAGACTGAGAAATATGCTAACCAGCATAAGGTAATGAGACAAAGTCAAAAATTACTGAGGACAGATGAACCAGTTTCTTTACTAAAAGAGGTGTAAGAGTGAGGAGAAATACAACAGATGCAGAGATAGAGATCTCTGTTGGGCCCTGTTTTAGTCTGAATAAACCATTAAAAAAGTTTTAAAGATTTTGGAATACAACTGAAGATGGGTCAGCTGAGATGGCATTAAAATACTATTAATTATATTAAGTGTGACAACAGTACCTTGGTTATGTAAAGCTTTTCAATTTTTAGAAATGTACGCTAAAGCACAAAAGAATAAAAATGACACACCTGTAAACCAAACTTGTATAAAAAGGGAAAATAATAGTTATTACATCAAGATGCTAAGTATACAGCTGTTTATTGTATTGTTATACTCTTAAAATTTGCATAACAAGAAAGAAAAACCCTATCATCACTTTGCCTGGGATTCTAATGCCACGGCCAGCCAGAAACCACCAATTTCCCAGTCTGTTTGATGTGGTTAAAGGACCCCAGTTCCAAGGCTGGACTGATTATTCACAGTATCTTTTTTTTTTTTTTTTAAAGTTTCCTATTTGGAAAAGGCTCAGTTATCAGAATTCCTATGAGTAAACTGACTCTTGATCAGAATATACATCAGATTTGTCTCTTAAAAAAAAGGATGACAGCAAAAAATTCCTCAATTTGAAAATCCTACTATATTATACTACTTTCTCTAATTTCAAAACATAACCTATACAGGGCCCTCTCTGGTGCCACAATGGGTTAAAATGGAGCACTATGAAGCTATCCATAGCCACTGAAGCATGAGTTTGGTCCTTGGCCAGGGAGGTGACCCACATGGCATGACAAACCTCTCCTGAGCCGCCTGCTGC